ATGTATATATATATATATACTATATATAAAGTCAGGTGCGGAAAATCGCTGATTGACATTTCAAATAATTTTTTGACAGAATCCTTATTACAAAATCGATCGTCCTTTTTATATGGTCGAAGACCGGCTGGAACTGTGCCCGTCTATGCTCTCGTGAAAAATTGCATTTCCAAAGACATACGGCTACGTGCAGCAAAAAATATGCCGATGCTGAAAACGTCCTTGCTGGAACGAAATGCTTTTACGTTGATCCAGGATCCAGGATTTTTGGCTCAACGACAGACGAACAGTGTCAGTGATCTAAGAGCACAAATTATATCGCAAGAACAAATACGACAGGTAAAATATGCGAAAATAGGCAAGAACTCAGTAAACACCAACTAAAAGTAATATAACAACGTTACAATTTTACACTCTGAAAAAATTTGGCTAAAATTGAATTGAAATTATTTCACGTTTTGAAACATTTCAACAAAATTGCTAAAAATTTCACTGAAAGTAAATTTTTCAGTTAACATATTGAAAAATTACTGAAATTAAACTGAAATTTCTCTAAAATTTTACTGAAAATGAATTTTTTAATTAAAATTCACTGAAATTAAATTAAAATTTTTTCTGCTGAAATTTTGTTGAAGTGATTTTAAAACGTGGAATAATTTCAGTGAAATTTTTTCACCAAGGTAATGTAACACACTTGTTATATTACATCTATATTATTGAGTATGAAATTATAACATTGATGTACGTTATACCTATCTTTTAGTTTATTGGGAATAAAACAACAAATATCTTTTTATAATTTTCGTAAATTTCAAAATGATTAAATGAAAATGATTAAATTTGTTAAATTTGCACACATTATTGCTTTTGTTATCCTTAATTATTATTTCCGAAAAAATATGAAATAATCCAAAAGAAATAATGATATAATTATCATTTCAATTCTAATTTCGTTCTCTTTTCTTTCATGCGATTTATTTCAGGCGGCAACAGTGCCGCGATTCGAAAAGGTAAGAGAAGAAAGTGGATGTCAAAAAGTGCACTTTCACGTGACCTATTGGATGTTCTATCCGTTTAGTGAAGGAAAAACGATTTGCGTATTGGATCTTGGATTTTTTGGCAGCTGGCCGATACCTACTATTGGTGGCGTGTGCATAGGTACGCTTAAAGAATATGGTAGTCACATTGGAGATTGGGAACATATGAGTCTTTATTTCAAGGTAAATTATTTTTAGCAATCCTTCAAATTTTTTATCCATTATCATCATTCACATGAACATGCCTATCTAAATAAGATGTCGTCATTTAGGACAACGAATATCCTCTGGCAATGTATGTATCAGCACACGATGCCGGTGCATTTTATCAGTATGATCCGCGAAATGGTACTTTCGTCTATGAGAGTCAAGAAACGAGAAAAGGTCTCTTCCAGAAGCCAACATTTCCTGAAAAGGTTTATACCGCTGATGATTCACATCCGATTTTATTTAGCGCACGCGGCTCTCACGGACTTTGGACAGCTCCGGGCAAACACAAGTTCGTTCGTGTACCTCGTCTATACGACGAGAGTGGATTTGGAACTGCCTGGCCAACATGGAAAAGATTGGAGTTGCTCTTGGAAGAGGATAATGAGCCTTTACCAGGTTGGATGACTTTTAAGGGCAAATGGGGTAATCCAAGCAGCAATTGTCATCCATTAGCAAGACTAGGTTTTAACATTTGCGAATTTGTAGACGGCCCAACTGGAATTCCTATGAAAAAATTCAATTTTCGATGTTAAGATTTACTATCGCTAAAGTCGATTAGGTAAAAAGACTGAGACGCGTCGTTTCGATTCGAATTTTAAAATGATTGTGATATATGGTATACAGACATATCCCATTTTAATTGCTCTAGGCAAATATTTTGTAAAAAGTATAAAATATGAAAAAATATTTTAGATGAAACAACAATTAAAAGAACGGTTCTGAGAGAGATGTATTTTGATGCCTTTTTTCTCTCCTTTAGATAAAAGCTTTAAAAAGATATGAAGTTGACTTCTGTTGAAGTCTTTTTTTTTAATGAAATTGTGTAATTTTTTTATACAATATGATTCTTCCAATTATTTTGCATATAAAAGTATTAATGTAGAAATATTAGAAAATTAATTAATTTATGAAATATTTTATGTTTTATTCCGATATATATATATATATATATATATATATATTGACATGAAATATTAATCACCTAAAAAAACTATCCACTTAGAAAAATCAAAATACATCTTCAAAATCATTTCTCTTTCATCATTTTTTTCTTATATATATCTTTTAAGATATTTGCCTGAGGTAATGATACTTGAACATTCTGTACACATAAGGTAAATTGATGCAATTTTAATGAGAATGCCAAAGATGGTTGACGATAATACAGGAGAGGACTTTACGTCTCAGTTTTTTCAAATTGATCTTCATGATCATAACTGAAAAGTAATTTAGTGCCACTGATGTTTATTTAACAGAAATTTCGTTGGAAATTAACATCGATATCGATTGATATAAAATGATAACAAAATAGAATTTGTTTAATATATAATGCGTACATAATAAGTGATAGAGAATAAGTGACATTGCTTTTGCAGACATTTTGCGCTTGATATATTTTTAAGAACAGTAGGCAAATTATCTTCTCTCGTGGAGCTTAGCCATTTACAATTGCAACGTTCGCTGTAGTCTGATTACAAGATCTTTTGGCTATGCTGAATTGTTCATTCATTTGAACTAGTATTCAGCACTTAAATGCTTAAATATTTATCAGCGAAAGACAGCTCGATAATAAGCAACATTATTCAGACATCTCATCTTCGTTGGTTCCTTCTACAGCAATACTGCGTATGCCATTTCTCAATAATGGTGTACCCTTGTCTTTAGCTAATACACGTGCATTCAGTACAATTTTTAATGGAGTACCTGATGGACAACACATCACTTCAACATTTTCTTTTAATATTTTCTCTTTATATGCCAACAGCTCAACTTTTAACCTGATAAAAGGTCAATCAATTATTTCATTAGC